CGGGGCCGCCGCCGCCGCCCGACGAGGCCGACGTGGTGGTCGTGGGCGGCGGCGTCACCGGCTGGTCCGTCGCCTTCTGGCTCAAGACGCTCGAGGGCGCCGGCGGCGCCATGCGGGTGCTCGTGGTGGAGCGCGACCCCACGGTGAGCCCCGCAGCGGGCACGGGGACGGGGGGCGCAGACAGAGCCCCCCATCCCCGTGCTTCCCTCTCCCCAGTATTCCCAGGCTTCCACCGTGCTCTCGGTGGGCGGCATCCGGCAGCAGTTCTCCCTGCCGGAGAACATCCGCCTGTCCCGCTTCTCGGCCGCCTTCCTGCGCGACATCAACGTGCGTGGGGACGCCGGGCGGGCACGGGGACGGGGGACGCGTCACGGGGGCGCCCGGCGCTGACGCCGTCCCCGCTGCAGGAGCACCTCGGGGTGCCGGGCGAGCCCCCCGTGGACCTGCAGTTCAACCCGTCGGGCTACCTGTTCCTGGCGTCGGAGCAGGGCGCCGCGGCGCTGCAGGACAACGTGCGGCTGCAGCGGTGCGTCCCCGCGCCCCGCGCCGCGCGCCCGGCTCCCCGGCACCCCCTGACCCCCCTTTTGCAGCGAGGAAGGGGCGCGCGTGGCCCTGCTGTCCCCCGCGCAGCTGCGGGCCAAGTTCCCCTGGCTGGACACGCGCGGCGTGGCCTTGGCTTCCTACGGTAAGGAGCGGGCGCCGGCGCCGCCGCCGGGAGCGCCGCCAGGCGCCCTCCGGACCCGCGCGCCGCCGTCCCGCAGGGCTGGAGGACGAGGGCTGGTTCGACCCCTGGGCGCTGCTGCAGGCGCTGCGCCGCAAGGCGCTGGCGCTGGGCGCGCTCGCCTGCGTGGGCGACGTGCGCTGTGAGTGTCCCCGCCGCGCGCCGCGCGCCCGGCACCGCCCCCGGCCCAGCGTCTCCCGCACCGCCACCTTTGTCCCTATGTCCCTGTCCTGGCACCTCCCGCACCGCCACATCTGTCCCCATGTCCCCGACCCCGTTCCGATGCCCCCTGCACCGCCACATCTATCCCTGTGTCCCCATCCCCATCCTGGCACCTCCTGCACTGCCAAATCTGTCCCCATGTCCCCGTCCCGGTGCCCCCCACACCACCACATCTGTCCCCATGTCCCTGTCCC